AGGCTTTATTAAAGATAATAATATCTGCTTATCTACTAAATTGAAATGCTGATGATGGAACGCATTAAACAAAGTTTTAGGAAAGAGCAAGTAGCTATTTGAAACTTGCAAAGTATGTCTCCCTACTTATATATAAAGTGGATTCGCGTTTTGATGCGATGAAGCGATATAACGATATAAAACCTTTCAGTAATGCAGGACCTCGAATGAGACGCTGATACCTAAATTAAGTTAGCGCTTTGAACTTGTTAAAAGTTAGCTAGAAAGTAATTAACTCATGTCCAATTGAACGCTTCAACGATTGCGCGTCGCAATTTAACTCATTATTATCCACACAATTAATTTAATACGACTTGTATTTAGCTTAATAACGCTTTATTAGCTACATTCGATGCGTTTTACTAAATCGAAAATGATGCAATCAAGGACTCACCTTCCAGGAAAGGTAAAGAAAAGATGAAGAAAAAATGTCAATACAAATGATTTCATCTTTAACGTTCGCCCACTTTGAGCAGTGAACCATAACCTGATCATGTTCTAAATAAATGTAACTTTATATGCCTATTGTCACGAATACAATAATGACGTGCAATGATCACGTCTCGCTAATCTCCCTTTTAACAGACAAAGTTATCAGAGCTGATTAACCCTGATTGTATAATGTATCCAGTCACCTTTTACACTAACACTTATTCCAAAGGTCTGAGGGTTACACGAGATTTATCGCTCGAAGCCTGGTGTCAGAATTCGCATATATATATATATATATATATATATATATATATATATATATATATATATATATATATATATGATCATAACATGATCATAAGCCAACCGCATCATGAGCTACGGAAGACTTATCCAGTACTAGTTTACCTTACTCGCAGTTCGTCTTATTTTCTTTTAGACGTATTAAGAGAGAGAGAGCTTTAAGCTTTGCTTGTTTTGTTTTATTAATCTTTGCAATATAAAATATTTACCCGGTGTACCTACAAGCTAATTTGATATCACCATGCAAACGTACAAGAATATTGTTATACAAAAATTACTGTTATATTGTACATGCATATAATTTGATATACTATGCCTGTATTTCAGATTGAAAAACTAGCATCACAAGCCGTAATGCGCAAAAAGCAATGCGCAAATAACTAATATACCGTATTCTCCCTATGGCTATTTTACTCTTTCAAGTGAATTCAAAACAACATTGTAACATATAACTGCCTGCAGAACCTGTGAGCTGCTCATGTTATAGACATGCAATTGTCAATTCACTTCAAATAATCTCGGGTAATCGTAGATATTAAAAAAAATACTTCACGTAATGCGAAAAATTTATTACCCTCGACTGCACCCTCGACATTGCGAATCGAAAAATACGATAAAAATCTACCCTCGACTTTATCCTCGACCTCACTTTCGACCCTCGACTTTCTACCCTTGACACTCGACCCTCGACCAAAACCCAATTTGATAGGTACATAAAAGCATGTGTGAATTGATTAGCATTTCTCCCGCTGCGAGTAAGCCAGTTAAATTGAAAAGTAAATATTTGTAGGACATTCAGTATTGTCCAGCAATAATCTAACAAAAACCGCAGTTGACATAGGTCAAACCTTGGCCTATCACTTTAGCTAGGGCTAGGCGTTTTTCAAACGCACGGAAGACTGCCAAATATAGCTTTGATAAATTTGTTATTTACATGAAACATTACTTCATTCATCGGTAGTTGCTAGAAACTGTTAATAGGAATGGTTATATATTTTTTAAAATAAAAATTATGGTTAAACAAACAACCATTTCAATCCACGTAATTTCTCACTGAACGAAAAATCCTTTGTGCATGTTCTTCATCCAGGTATGTAATTATGCTTTCCTCTTCGTGAAGGCTCTTGTTATTATTTCTTGTTCAATATTTAGTGATTTAGTGCATGGCGTTAAAGGCTTGTTTAAAAAATCTCCTATGTTCGGCCACTCAGATAAAGTATCTATTTTATTGTGAGGAGGATTGCCAAAAATAGCTTTCAATAGCTAATATAAATAAAATATTAAAAAAAAATTATAAAACAGAATTAATAATCAACGCATTTTAGCTATTCTTGTAACAAAAAAACTCAGAGGCGTTGATCCCTGAATACGAAAAGTGAGGTGATGAAATGATGAAAAGTGATGAAATGATGGTTTGTAGGTTTGTTGTACGTACAACAGACATCAAATTGGCATAAATTATTAACATAATAATTAGAACAAATAATTAGGCCCTCCCACCGACATTTAAATGCAATATGGATTCTATATAGAAGCTTTTTGGCGTCTTTACATTACGCTTTCCTTAATTAGGTCGCATTCGTTGGTGCGATAAAACAAAGTGGATAGTTACGAGGTGCCTAAAATAATACCTACATTCAGGTTAACTTAGATAAACAATTTGGTAGGTTTTATACTGAATCTGGGCATAAAAATTGTTATTTGCCTCGCAATTCCAGCATTGCTATGTTTGTCTGTACACCACTATTTATATAACTATCTTTTATAATCGACTATCTAAGATTCAGGGCAAAAAAAAAAAAGAGAAAATTTCCACTGCCTTTGAAAATTGAATGATTTTTGAACTTGATGACTCTTGTTGAGTGGAACACACGTAAAAATATTTTTTGTTTATATATGAGTTCGTGATCGCGTTATTTTAATGTTGAGGGGATAAATGTAGTAATTTAAATATTAGCTATCACTTTAGTTGTTACATTTATCATATCGTTATATACGACTTCAGTCATCAGTAGAGCTGAAGACGGTTTTGATATACATTAAGTTATTTGACCGAAAAAAAATGGTTTTAATTCACGATAATCTATTAATGATAATCTATCCACACTAAAAAGATTGATCGTTATAACTTTGAGTAATTTTGGACAATAAGACATATTTTAGGACATATTTTGTTGCTGTTCAACCGAAAAAACTAGATCGCTACAGTACCACGTTCCAAAATGTTAAATTTTGCTTTTTACGTTGCTGTTCACTTTCTTGACTTCATGCACACAGGCATTGATTGACATGAAAGACAGGCTCAAAAATAGAGTTATTCATATCGAATGCTATTCATTGCTCGAACGTGGACGTTGGTTGTCGCAGAATGATAATATGGACGCTGACGGCTCGAGAATTTGTACGTCGACCAATTAGCTGAGAGAGATGAATACTACACACCCAGAATTCAATTTCATTTGAGATTTTCGTATAATTATTTTTCATAATTATGCAACTCCGTGTGACCATATAAGTCAATACGGTTCTGTCTTGGAGCATCTTTTTATATTAATTTTGATTTATTCGTTTTTCCCTTCACCGACAACACTTTGTGACAATGACAAATACGTATGTATAGAGCCTCTTTCTCTTCGGGACTATTATTTAGCTGCTGGATTTCCAGCCGTACGATTTTTGCATAATTCGATTCATGCAAGGAGCTTATATCCAAAATGGAATCCATGCACTTAAAGGAATTTTCAAAAATTCGTTACAACCTTTGCCATTCACTGTGTCTTAGGCTACCTAATATTTTTGGCTTATTTCCCCGATTTATTTTTTAAAATTTTAATAAATGTGCAATAAGTAGGAATTCAAATTTATTATATTCTCTGGTTCAAACTGGACCCTAATTTATAATGCCCTCACATACGAAAAAGGCCGCAACGAGGTAAAGGTGAATTTGTGTTCATTTCATACGAATAGTGATAACTTGCACATTTTAACGCCATTATTACGACATAGATATTAAGGCTTTTCCAGTTTAAAAAACGACAAACATTGGAATGAAAGTATCTAACGCCATGTTAAAACAATGTACATAATATATATTTATTGCATCAAATGTGGTATGACAATTGCCTAAAATAGGCAAAACACTTCTCGACGTTTCGACCTGAGGGCCTTTGTCAGGAGAGTTAGTATGAAAATAAATAGAGTACATGTTTTGTATGGGAAAACACGTGATAAAAATAAGCCAATAAAAAACAAAAAATCCGAACAAATTGGAATACATTACATTGCCAAAGAGACGCCTGATTGTGGGCTAAGAAAAGGCCGCAAGGAGAGAAGCTTGATCAGCAACGAAAACATATTACAACAAGCTTTGATGTAAACAAAGAAAAATGAGTCATTTTGCTCAGGGTGAAGTTGCTTAAATGAACGAAAGAGAGTCTTTAATTAATGCCAGAGGGATGGAGAGTGCTAAGACTGAGGATGAGTTGCATGTCTTGTCGTTTACGGTTATCGTTGGTACCGGAAATGGGACAGAGGGCTCTATAATTTTCATGTCCGTGACACAATGATTACCACATGTAAAGTGTCTGGCAACAGCCTTGGTTTTATCGTGATTTTTGACCGATCTACGCAGTGTGCACCAACCCTTACCCTTTCAGATCTTTCAGTTTCGCCGATATATAGTAAACCGCATTTGTGGCAATGGATGCAATAATTGAGGCCAAGCTGTTCCCTGGTTATATTAAAGCGTAATATCTGTTTGCAAAATATACGACTTTGTTTCAGATTTTCCGTTATAAAACGTAAAAAAAAACATGATGCAGCATTTAATTAGCCATTCAACTTTTTAAAAAAAATGTATCCTCCAATTACTCAAATTGCGAGTAAATTTTCGTTCACGCGGATTCATCCTGTGCTGGTTTGTGTAATGAAACAGTTATTAAACAGCTTTCTATTACAATCAAATGGTATTCCAATTTGTTTTTTTTTATATGCTCCAGGGGATATGCATGGGTTCAAGTCAAAGATAACCTAATGCACTGCGATGCCGTTCATATTGATTTTAATTTTGAATTAAGAGTAATTAAGACTACAAAAGATTGACTGCGTATTAATTGACAAAAAACTAAAACAAATTTTAAAGATTTATTATTTGAATATAATGTCCGTTGCCGTATTTCTTTTTATTGGAAAAAAATATTCTTTCCATCGCAGCTGCTTTCGTATATTCACAGACACCGCTGACAAAGGTAATGACGATCGCTCAAGTGACATGGCCGATCATTCCATTTCCCTGTTGCTCTGTTTAATATTTCGACGCAGTTTTCCCGCCCGCCAGCGTTGTTTGGTTCCCATCTATTCCAGTTTTTATACGAGATCTCCTCATCACCCACTGTGTAAAACACTCTTCCCGATCTTCGGTACACGCCAATCCACGCTGCGATGAGGTTATGTCGCTTAATAACCTGATAGAGATAATTATTCATTTTCGTGTTGGTTGGAACTGCCAAATGGCCGCCACGCCGACGACAGTCGTCTTTCGCACTGTTCCATGATGTCGCAAAGCCATTTGCTGATATAAAAGCAGAGCCCATCGAATGCCTCCCAACCCGCAGGGCATTTAGTAGCTGAAATATTGTTTAAAATACATTGTCCTTAAGATATCCTGCGCCCGAAGGATTCAACAAATATGTAAACATTAATATCTACGTATTAAACACTGTATGAATGAGCCTGAAGCGAGCTAAATTTGCGCAGAAAAGACGGGTGAAGCACTCATCATTGCGCTCTGCTCAAGACTAGCAAATGAACATGTGAACAAAACATCATTTCTAGTATGTAAATGTGGAATGCACGACAATGTATTAAACAGAAGTTTAAAATGAAGCCGCGGTCATTAATCAATAAATATACAAATAGTTTAGAGAAAGTCTGTGCTGTGCCTACCTGTACAAGGCTGTCCACGTCCGATGATGTGAAACCTGATGCACACTGGCAGAAGTAAGAACCGTTTGTGTTTGTGCAGTAACCGTTAGAACCGCACGGTGTCAGTGAGCATCCTCCTGCAAACGAATCATCACATGATTATTCCCTTGGAATATACATTGTCTTGCATCCAGTAGATATTTCTGCATATTTCGAGGGTGCTATTTCTACACTATGGTCGATGTTCATAACCGTAATTATGATCTTCATTGAATCCGTAAAGAGTTTTAAATGGGTAGGATGATTAATGTTCATTTTGATTACGGAATTTATCGTATGCATGTTGTTTATTTGCATAAAAATTAGGAGCTTGCATGTATTCTAAGAAGCTTTTATGAGCTTGGTATTCTAAGAAGCTTACTTTCTTCACTACGGCAATCATCTTCAGTGATGTTGTACATCACTTTCCCTTGACTTTCTAAATAGAAATATAAAATGCGTTGTACCTCCATTCATTATTGCAACTGAAATTTAAGATTCTAAATCGAGGCAGCAAAACATTTTTGAGCGCTATTTGGGCGTGTACATGGGCTACCATTTCGATGTAGACGAACGTGAGCACAAAACTGCTACTAGTGAAATGAAACGCCTGTGCATCCATAACTTAGTCATTTCTCCGTTCGGTGTTTTTTTTTGTCCCAGCGAAAAGCAATACAGGCGAAGCGAAGGCTGTTGAGTTTTCGTAAAATTTCCGAAGATATTGTTCTCATGCAGCCTTTATTTATTACGAATGAAAGTAATTGGCACCAAATTTTCTCCCCTGAGGTTTTACGTGGCTACTTTCCCGCGTATTTTTTAAAACCTCGCACATGCGCGTAATCTTTTACCGCGTTGTCATATATATGCATTCATGTTTTGTTTCTCAGCTATTTCAAAAAAACTAATATTCGGTATCGTTATACCTGGTTCGTAATAATCGTAGACACTGACAACACCTGGCTGGGCGTTCTTTACTAATGTACTCTGCGTAATATCCAGCGAGAAATCCAACTCTTTTATCTGGAAAAATAATTCATTTCAATAAGAATTGAATCAGATCGACGCTACATAGAGAAAAAAAAATTTGGTACAACCTTTTTTCAATAATTTTAAAAAAGGTGGCTTTAAGAATAGAAACTGTACACTATGTGTCCTGAGGAGCGGTTTCCTGGAATAGCCTGCCGCTTAAAATCGCAGATACGTATATGGCGACTTTTGGAACAATTAATTTAAAAGACTCATTAATAATAAGGGATAATAAATATGTAAAATGTATTCTTGTAAAATAATGGATGAAATACTATTATTAGATTTTTTCACTATGTGTTGTATTTAAGCTGTAGCACGGCTCTTTGAAAAGCCGCAGTAATTCGCTTTTGCTGTTGCGGATACGGGATACCCTGCCTGTTATGTCCTTTTGTTATGTATTTGTAAAAAAAAATGTAAACGGCGAAGTTTTTAAATTAAAATATTAGTATATAGTAATAAAACACGTATAGTTAATAATGTATACGTACGCGTTTACCTCATCGAAATACAGAATAACGTGTTGTCCTTCTGTTTCAAATCGTTTTAAGATTGCCCTATTTGCCTGGCTGGCCCTGCACTTTTTGTTTCTCTTTAACTTCTAAAAAGAGATGAGAGAAAGTGCTTTTTAGGTCTTATAATATAGCCAGGCCTTTTACTTGTTGGAATAAAAAAATGACAAGCTTCTGCCCTGAGTTTGAATCCATTTTTCTAACTAAGAAATTTCCAAACTCTATTTTTCTGAACTGTTTTTTTCATGTTTCATAGCTACAGTAATTAGCTATAAGAACAAGGTTTCCATAGGAATTGGGGATAAATTTTGATTTTCGCGCTTCTTTTTTGTTAGTTTTTGCTGGATTCACTAGCAAATAATTTGGTTTTAATTTGGCTGACTGAGTGCACTAAAAAATTTTCCATGTGGAAACATTTTGCAGACCGACAAAATTTGATTAAAAAAGTGGCTATAGTAGCTTTTCCACCAATGAATCAACTCGACGGTCGATTCGATGGTCGACCACGATTTTTCATAAATTGGGTCGAAAACTGAATGTTGAGCAAAGGGCATTTAACTTATTCTAAAACGAGAATTAAATATTTATATATTATTCTATTCACTAAACCAAAGAAAATAAAAGTAACAATCGCGTGAAATATTTCCGATGATTGATGTTCTCAAGCTGAGAGCGAAAGAGAAACATAATTTAAATGACTAATCTAACATTCTTTATCATCGTTATTTGTTATGCAGGCCAATTGTGGACACGATTGAACTCAAAAGAACTGGAAGGCTACCTCCGGCCGGAGATTTGAAGCCAAATTTTGGGGTCATGCCCAAACTTTTCACGCAACTAAACACGCGGTTTTTTGAAACTTCAAAAATAATACTTTAACATGCAAGCACTAAAAACATCTTTTAGAGAACATAAAGTGCGTTTTGCACAGTATTTTTACGATAAAAGCATCCGTGAAAACTACAGAGTAAAGTATTCTAAACTTTCTGTATCAAACTCGCAATTAAATTGCCCTTTCTTATGAAAAACGATGAACGAGGAGTGAAGCCGGGAAAATTCAAAAGTGTTTGTGTGAATTCACTTATTTAATTTCATTGTTTATTAATTTAATCCCTCGAAACTTTTTTGTGAAAAAACATTCTAACAATATTTATTCAACAACAAACTACAGCTAAATTTTCTTTTTTTTATGTTTTATGAGCACATAACTACAAAATATATATTTTGTTTTGTTGCCTGCAAACCTTTTTGAAGTAGTGATCGTTTTCGAACAAACTGTTTACATTTTCCTTATAATTTCACCACGCCGCGGTTCCAGGTATGCTTTAATCAGCATTGATTACAAAATTATAGCCTAAATCGTTAAAATAAAGGACAAATCCGAACGAATGTAACTTCGCCGCTAAACAGTTCATGTTTTTCTTATGTTCACTCCTGAAAAGGCCCTCGCGAGAATGTCTCGCAACATGTACACGCGTGTCTGGAGGTAAAACACGCGTGTCTGGAGGTAAAATTTGGCTTCAATAATTTTGGCTATTTTAATCAGGAGGTAGCCTTCCAGTTCTTTTGAGTTCAATGGTGGACACTCATCGTTTATTTCCTCTGTTAAAATTATATAATGTCGATTGTATATTGAGACAAGTAGTTGGAATCTTGTTTTGTAGCGTAATTTCGTTAATTGGACTTCATATATTCATGTTGGCAAGCAGTAAATATCGTTGCCCACTACCCACTTAACGATCCTCCGCGGCCCGCAACACGTAACACGTCTTTTCACTATAACACATACTATTACACTAATTGAGAGTGTGGTAATATTAAAAATCCAATCCAATTTTTATATGAGAATTTTTACCAGTTCTAGAGATTTTTCGTTCACGGTGAATCCCGACACGAGCTTAACGTCAACTATAGCCATATTTGAAACATCGTTTTTGAGCCATCTAAACCAATAAATCGAGTTTGTGCGTAAATGAGCTTCGGTTCATTAAGTTGAGAAGTTTTCTGGTATGTTTTATATATAGCTGTACGAACTTTATGAGCTATCATTTTCCAAAAAAACTACAGAGATAGGTGATAGAATAGAGAGTTTAATACACACACCTTGCTTGTATTCTTAATTGCAAAGGTTGACATGAAGGAGTTTCTTCTTCCTCATCTTTTGCTCCGCGTGGATGCACGGAAACGTTCACATTGAAGGCTGGCGGCAATTCAAAGACGGGAATATTGTATTTCACAGAAACCTAAATGGGAATTAAGTAAAAAGTTAACTATTTGAGTTTAAAGGCGTTTTAGGCGTAGAATGCATTGTCGGAATGAAAATTGAGATAAAAATCACTATAAACTAAGGGGACATAAACACAAACGACAACATTCAAAAGTATAGTCTAACTAGAAAACGGATTTCCCATGTCGAGCCAAAATTTCTCGAATTAACTAGAGATACATGCATGCAGCACCCGTTGCCATTTTCAACCAGGAAAACATAATCTCCTGTGCCTAGATTAACGATAACTAGAATGACTCTATAGTAAAGCGTCCAAAGCCAATATTTTTATCATTTTGTAAAAGATAGTCATAACCTTGAAAGCGATTTAGGTAACTGTTGAAATTTCAACAATAATTTTGTGGTTTCAGAAAAACATCAAATCTCCGCTTCAAATATTATGCCGGTGACTGTTTGATTTTGAAACCACGAGTTACATTAAAGTGCCTATACCACATGTGGGATCTTTACGGATTTAAATAGAGCTTGAAAAATTAGTTTATAAGTTCTACATCCCTTTTTGATATAGTTAAATAGTTTCGGAAATATTTACATCTAAACATGACGATTTGCCTAAATTTCTGTCGTGCTCGGGGGCCTGGGACTCAGGAACCAAGTTCTGTCAACATAATATATATCAATTGTAATTTTACTTCGATCTTCAATAACGTAAAGTATGTTGAGAAAAACTCGCCCAGTTTCTGCAGCCATACACAACGCACCGTTCTTGCATTTTTTTCTTGAAAAACGCAAACTATGTTGCCAGTGAAACTCTTCATGTCTACATTATAAAAGACGGCGTGTTTGCAAATCATTCCTGAGTCCCAGTCCCCCAAACTGACGTGTCCCCCAAACCGACGTATTTTCGAAACTATTTAATTATATGAAAAAAGTTGTAGAACTTATAAACAAGTTTTTCAAACCTTATTCAAATCCGTAAAGATCCCTCAAGTGATATAGGCACTTTAAAGCGATGGTGTACGACTTTGGAAAATGACGTATCAAGCTATTATATATAAATAAACGTTAACTGCATCTTTCTTTATACAACAAGCACGTAATATTATAAAAAACTATGCTATATCACGTACCGATTTAAAACATTTCAAAAGAGTATAAATCGTTCTTTTTTCGCTTTTAATCTTCAGGAGCAAACCTTTTTGTTCCTGATAAATGTTTCTTGGCGATTTTTATTGGATCCGTTTTCCATTTTATTTGGTGAAATTTTTAAAATCAGCTTTATAGAAATTAAAAGAGTGCGAATTTGCTGTTAAATTGCTTATGTTATCATTGAAATACGAATTTCTAACTCGGCCTAACAGAAAGTTGGTGATTAACGGTTGAAACTCTTTTAAATTTAGCGCATGCGCATAATTAAGAAAACCATCCAACGTCCATGACATAGAATTTTTACAACTTTGAATTCCGCTATATGATCTGCCACAATACCCAGGTGTAATTTCTAATCTCCGTACGGAATTAGTGCATTGGCATTGTGCTCTGCACCGGCTTAGCGATGATTAAATAATTTATAAATTAAGCCCTAGCTAGGCGTCTGCCGTTAAAAAGAATTTTCAATCACTGGTACAAGTCGATAATATTTGATATATTTAGCTATTAGCTAAATGTATATGTAGATGTGAGATAGGTACTTCCTATATGAACAATAAAAAATCGTTATTTACCTGTAATAAAGCACATCCTGAACCAGATGCATTTATACCCAAAGTATTTGGCAAGAAATTACTTGGAATCTCTACGCGTTGTAGTATCAATTTGTTGTTGTCAGTAACTGAGAAATTATGGTCAAAACCATCTTTTATATTCGCAGATACATTCAAGATCGAAAGATCACTCTTGGAATAAAATCTTGCAGCGACTTCAGAAAGAGCTTGTAACGCTACACAGGTGTCCTAAATTATTTGGACGTAAAGAGGAATGTTAAATATCATAATTATGCCACAAAATACAGCGAACTTTTTTCCAGGTGTTTCGCCTAAAATTATTCTCATTCAATTGCGTTCAAAATATTTAAGACGAAGTAAAACAAAGGACACTTTTTTGCATACTTGTGTGGAAGAAAAGCCTCCGTAGTAATTTCGTTGTTTTGATAACCATTTCACAATCTTTTTTAATTCGTTATGAGGCTCATTGCGCTTGATGTAGGCCAATAAAGCATAGCTGGTCATTTCTACATCAGCGGCATATGTTTGGTGGTAATAATCAAACCGTGCTTGATTTACGTTGCCTGATGACCAGTAAAGTTGTTCGTCTAATAAAAAATATTAATTGCTATAACCATGATAATTGTATAATTGTACAAGATTTAAATAAATGTAATAATTCAGCAATAAATTAATAGAGATTAATTCATGTTGGCAAGTGCGTACGATTTTCATGCACGAGTTGTGAAGGTTCGCAAACCGAACGAGTGACAACGAGTGCACAATAAAAATAGCACAAACGAACTTTGCGAGTTGGATGTTACACAAAAAATTGTTTATCCATCGATTATACGATTGCAATCACGAAGAATTCAGAAAATAATTAAGAATATAAGCAAATGAAATACATATGGAAATGAAATTGTTCACATAAATCTTTTTCACCTTCCTCTCTTATCGCCCTGGTTTTCAAACGACTTATCATTATTGCTGCTTTCGGATGATCTGCCAGCACCATCAGGTACGATACTAATGAAGTGGTGTAGGAATCTTGAATTGTATCCAGATTTCGTGATATACAATTAAGAGCTCTGGAAACCATAGATGTCTAAGCAAAATAAGCATCATACAGTGTTTACATCATGCAAATTTACACGAGCTGGCATTTTCTGTGTCACGCCGCTACATACGCCTTAAAAAACATAGTGGTGTAAAGCGGTCCTCGAATATTATGTTCCGGCGTGAATCATATATAGTTTTAAGACTTCTTTTAAATGGCAGAAACTAAATTTTTATTGTAAATAAACAATAATGCGGCTCCCTGATATTTCGTGGGTTTTTTAAATGCATATGCAAGAAAACTATACGTCTAACTCCTTATTATACAATCCTAAAATTTAAAATTCCTTTCGTTTACATATATTGAGTGTTCTGCCTAGCAAACCTTGCCAAGGCAACAGAGGTGTGTTGAATGACCGCAGAATATATAAAATATATATTTATGATTAAATCACAAACGGGCTTTGAGAATTCTTTTTTCTTCTTCAAAGATTCGCATTAGCATGCTTTCTACTTAAAAATGTTTTAAATTTCGACAAAAAATTCTCAAATCAAGGATTTCTTTAATAGAGGCTTAGAGCAAAAATAACGTTGATTGAAAAATATAAAAATTGCATATCACATAGATTTGAAAGAGTTTTTGTCAATAAAGCATAATTATATAAATTAAAGTGTAAAATTTTAATTTGGCACAAATTTGGTATAAATTATTTAGAGTGTTGAAAATGTGCGGAACCTCATTAACGTTTAAAATAATGTAAGCTATTTCGCCAAGTATTTCCAGTCGGCTATACTGGGGACATTTCGCAAAAATGCACGGAAATGTTTTGAATTTTAAGGAAACAAAATTAACATATAAGTTCTGGCGTGCTGTGTGACATGCTGAAAAAGCTCAAACATATATATTGACTATAGTCAATAACCTTAATGGCTGTTACAAATAAACCGTCGGTATAGACCTTAAGAGCCTCATACATCAGTAGGTCAAAAAATGCAGTAAATAAGCTATTACCTTCTCATCAAAACCTGCCTCCAGTAAAGCTATGGCGACGTAGGCCGTTATAGTAAGTTCGCTGTTCAATCCACCCTTCCAAAAGAAAATATAAAAACGTCCATAATACTAGAATACTATCTTAAGCATTAAAGAGATCGAAAAAATACAATGCTTATTTAAAATGAGAAACGTATTTTTTTCGAGTTTTAATTGAGAATGATACGCACGAGTTAGGGCAACATAATTTATTTTGATATGTAAAAAAAGGATTTTAAAACGACACGATAATCGCACATTTTTTCATTTATCGTATATATAAATGGTCGCAGATGTGTTGTTCGCGCTTTTCACAATAGCAATAAATTCAAATTAGCTTCCATTCGCATAAAATATATAATTTATACGCATCAAATTGCACGAACTTACTTGAAGCGATCTATCAAACACTTGACCATACTCTGGAAAACAACCTGAACGTGATTGCTTTCTTCGAAACCACTCGACACTATGTTTGATTTGATCTTTGTCAACAAATACATATCTCCGGGCTCTCGCAAATGAGCGAACAACAAAAGCTGTTAACCTAAAAAAAAACAATTACAAAGATTAATGCATGGTAAATCATATAAAAATGCTGTATTAAGAAAAAGTTAATCGATTTAAATAAGATAATAATATATATATCTGCCCCTCGAGGTACGGGTAAATGTTATTTACATTTTTAAAATGAAATATCTATAGAATTTCTATTGTTCGCTTTTCTTAATTATTGTGAATTCGAAGGATGAACATAAATTATATAGGATTCCAATGTTCTAGAATTAAAAATCGAACAATAGAAATTTTATTTTATAAGAGAGGCACAATAACCATGAAACTATTGACTTTATGGATACATATTAACTTAATAGATATTTTGATACCGGGACTTAACCCAACAAAGATAAACGAAAATAAAGGCAACAACAAATTGCGTTGTAGGTCGATCTCCCCATTGCAATATTTGAATGTGAAAAGTTGGTTTTAAATTATGTGATTGGAATCATTTTCATCTGAAAGGCAAAAATCAGAGGCAATATATGACCTGAACAGCAACGTTGTTTTTAGAAAAAAAAACTGAATTTAATATTATCTATATGTGATAACAATTTTTGCCAATAACTAATTTCAACAGTTTCGCACATGCACTTGAAACGCTCTTCATGCTGCCATTAACCTTAAAACGTAGGACCAACTAGGCCATTATAGTCCTTTTTTGGATTTGAAATTTGAGTTTATTATTTTAACTTCCAAGATTAGAACATTCTTTTAAAACAATTCATGCAAGTATATTTTTATTTAAGAATTAAAAAACGAGCGTGCCTTTATGGTGTAATAATGAACGATGGGGGAATGTTGGGAGAATACGAGAGAAGCTTGTAAAACACGAGGCGTAGCCGAGTGTTTTACAAGCTTCTCGAGTATTCTTCCAACATTTCTCCGAGTCCATTATTACACCATAAAGGCACGCGACGAGCTTTTTTAATTCTTTTATAATATAAGAAGAAATTACAGGGCAACAACAAATTTAATTTATTTGATCAATAATGAAATTCTCCTTACATGTTATTTAAGATGTTGTTTAGCAACAAAAACTTCAAAAGCCAGAAACGTGCATTATGGCCTCACAATGCACGCGCGGTAGCCAATCAAATTGCTCGTTATATCATACTTATATTATAATTATCTATAAATATCGCGTCAAGAAAGTTTCCTTCTTTCTCTTTTGAGTAATTTGTTTAATGAAATTATAGGGGTTGGAAGATTAATCACTGATCACTTACATCATGCTTCCTTTACTGTCGGAGTCTCCAAAGGCACTGTACGAACCACTTTTCCTTTTGTACGTTAACTGTCTTTGATAACCTCCGGGGAAAAGAATAGCGTTGTCAGTAGAAATATGTTGATAAAAATGATGAGGTGTAGGGAAAATTGGTTTTACCGTAACGCCTAGGTAGGAAGCTCAGGAATTTCAGAATTCGTATATATAATTATATAAGATTAAACTAGCTCAATATTTCTCGAATACCAGAGGATATATAATAAACTGCATCGTCTTTTATTTTCTTTGTAATTTGATTTGTGTTCGTGAGATAATCCATGATGTAAATATTGGGAGCAAATTTAGCCATGTTCTGTTCTCCGCAACCATACGGCATTGCTAATAGTCCGTCAAGATTTGTTAGGGCAGGTCCCATCATATCACCTGTAGAAAAACTTCAATCAAAACGAATTCAAAATTAGCAACCATAAAATTTTCCTGGTTGCAACCCTTTTCATACAATTGTGTCTATACATTAGATCGGATGGCGTAAAAAGGTTCAGACGTTTACTGCATGCAAAAAACCTATAAGACTATATATATATATATATATATATATATATATATATATATATATATATATATATATATATATATATATATATATATATATATATATATATATATATATCATAACTTAAGTATATGTACATAGTTTACCAGATTCATTAAAGGCTAATGTCACTTAAACTTAGCGTTTACAAATATGCTTTCTTCTCTAAAAAAATCGAACAACTGAACCTTTCGCGTCTTTCGGTAAATTCAACTATTTTCATAGCAAAAAATATGGGCGTTTTTTTTTAAAAAAGAGCGCTGTGATGTATGCTACACTTGAATTTTTTTCAATTGTTTCACATTTTTCTTATACTCACCCCGGCCCTACTCATTTTGTCATCGTGCATCTTTTCTAATCTGATATTGGCGAGATCGGGGAAATATTAGGCTACGGTGTTTTTTTTTTTTCTTAGCTTTTGACAAAATTACACCTACTACACTCTGTTATAATTAATAAAATTTTAGCTACCTAAGAAATGAAATCTATAAGAATGCTCGTTGAAAAAAAAATGTACAAGCAATGCTTAAAATAGAATGCAACTTTATTGATTTTAATGCAAGGTATTTATACTTAACTAGTGCATGGTAAAGCTTTGGTTAAAATTGAAAGCTAATAGCAGGCGGAAACAGGCGATATATACATGAAGCTTTAAAAATGAAGGCTGTTTAATTTAATGACTTACCAATAAGCGATATTTTTGGTAGCACAGATCCTGAAATGATGTTGGTTGGTAGCGGTAGGTCAATCGTTTCAGCATATTTTTCTGGTAAAGGAGAAGTTACATATTGTAATTTATTTTTTTAATGGACGACTTGCGCTTTAGACTAATTTTCTTGCCTCGGCAATAAAAAGGACATATTCTGAAAGAGCTTACTAAAATAAGTAAAACTGCAAAGTTTAACTGCGATTGTTGTGAAATACGGAAAATATACCCATGCGAAGTCTCGATTTTTGTATACTTTTGTATTACGATCGAAAGTTTGTAACTAATTAATTTAGTTACACATTTCCGCACGTAATACACAAAGGTATACAAAATTTGCCAGCTTCGCATGGCTATATTTTCCGTATCTTACAAAATTTCGCAGCCAAACTTAGCAGTTTTACTAATAAAAGTAAGATCTTTCTGAATTTTTTCCTCTAATTACTGCGATCAAAAGTTAGTCTAAAGCGCAAGTCGTCCATTACTAGAAATACATTCATACTTAAACCCCCGGCTCCCGAGGTTCCCTTTATAGATTTCAATAACCTTGAAAAAATGTTTGTCATGCATTTACGCAATCTCATTCCCTGAGCCCGCGATCCTTTTAGCGAGAAAGCAGAGGTTCTGAGATAACCCATACCGAAAGCCAGAGTTCCTGGTACTTATCTCCAGTATATTTCCTTACATATTATATCCATTGTCTTACTTTTTCTCGCTAGAGGATCGCGGGTTGCGGAACGAGATTAGCATAAAATAATCGCATTTAATGACGAGCTTAGTTTGTTACCAAACTTCCCTCAATATTTGGTTTACCATTTAAAGAAGCGCAAAAGAATGTTCCTCTGGTGTATTGCTGCTTTATTCCCTCTGGCTAGAAAAGGAAATTTCTTGCAATAACCGCGAGAAATTTTCGTAAATAAGAAAAAAACATGAATCGTCGGGCTAAATTGATGTTTACCTCAACCAGCAATGTTCTTGTGACAGCGTCAACTGCGTAGAGAGTGAACTTAGGGCAAAGCTTTGCTTGCGAAGTCGTGGCTTTAACCGTAATTGGTATATGACCAAGTTTAGTGGGAATAACATTGAATTTCGTAGACTTTCCCTCATCACTACACACGCACATCTTGCTGATGTGAATTGATGTAACTTTAAAATCACTGGCTTTGCGAATTAATTCTAATTTAATCTGAAAACATGGAAGTTTTTATTTAATTAAAAAAAATTCAATTTCAAGGCAGGCAGGCAGAGAGACAGACGGACGGACAGACGGACGGACAGACGGACGGACATGGTGGATATGTTGATAGATTTGTTCGAACGATATATTATTTCATGATTATTAATCAAAACACTTACTGGAACACAGGATGACATGTAGTTTATAACTGTCACTGTGATGGGTATTTCTTCCCCACGGATTACGGAATATGGCATCGTGATGTGAGCAAAGAAAGGTTTGAATGCTTTCAACGTTGCTTGATTTGAGATCCCCATACCGTACAAAGATGACATCGCAAATCCGTTTGCAACCCAACTGGTGATGGCATCAGGAACTTTCACTTCCATCGCATGTATACCGGAAGTGTCGCTACAGGGAAAAATTACCGCCTGCGTTAATCCCTACGCCGGCGAGAGTAATAATTTTGTGCGAACACTATATTACAGAAATTACACACGGGTTTAACAGAACATAGCGGAATTTAAAGTTATCCAAATTCTATCTAATGTACGGTGGACGAATATGAATATGAGTAAAAACAATTCAATTAGAATGGAATTTTGAACCAGTCTTGTGAATTGTTTTTTAAATTTTAATGCAAATTAAATTGACGTGGGGTTTTTGCATGCATGTATTTATAACATAACAATATTTACTTTAGTTTGATGTCTGTCCATAACCATGTCTCCGGAAAATATTTACGAACTGCTACTGAGAACTTCTTTGCAGGTTTTTTTTCCTTCTTTTTAGGGGAAGTGAATTTTTTTTTTGACTTCCATTGAACCTTTCTTGGAACCGATGGAGCGGGGCGGCTGGAACTGCTGGCAGCCGACATAAGTTTCATAAGCCTATAAGATATTTTTTGTAAAAATCGTTATTTTATTATTAATTAACTAAGTTCTATTCATTCTTTCTCACTACTGTACGTTGCGAAATATTTTTTGGATTTGAGAGCTGGGATACAGACAAGAATTTTTTAATAAGGGCAAGGGCATAGGAGCAAATTAAAATCGACTATGATCCTATATAATAATTATTATTTTATTCTTCAAACATTTTCCTTTTTTATAGCTATTCTCAATATATTTTGGTAAGATGAAAAAGTATAGTAGCAATGTATTATATTTCCTCAAGCTGTATGTGATGGCATGCACTATATGAGCAAATTTTTGCTTAATTGTGACTATACATGCTTGCACCTACAGTCTTTTCGAACAATAAGAATTATTTTACAATACATTACTGCTTATTATTGGAACAATTATATAGTAATGTTATGGTCCGCAGCCTGGTGGGATTTATTCAATAATTTTTCTCTATCTTACCACCATCATGATGAGGCAAAAATGCATTTCTCCGGCGAGATGTACTCCTCCAGTTATGCTTTGTTCTTCCTTCATAAAAATATCGTCGCCAAAATCTAATTCGACGTGGCATTGGTCGGGGGCGAGGACGAATGCAAGGCCGAGTAAAAATCCTCAAATTTGAAACAAAATTGACACCAGCATTCTGAAATTAAATGTTTTTTACATATATATACATATAATAAATGTTTACAGGCCTATATACCATTAACCGAAGTCGAAAATTGCGTTCCTTATGCATAATTACCTTACCGCATATGCAAATAACGCTAACTATAAGTTCTACAATCTACAAAGGAAAACGCTTTGTCTTGCGTGAACTACACTGTTAATTTTGAAGTGTTAAAATAGCACCACCGTAGGTGCCAAATCAACACCATGCGGTGGTGTTAAATAGAAAGTGCTATTTTGGCACCAACTTCGGTGCTAATTTAACACCACCAAATCTGGGATAACGCTAAAAGTGTCAATATGACACCATATTACCAGCACCATTGTTAGGTGCCAAAATGACACCTCTTTTGCCGACGGAAAGTGTTAAAATAACGCCATATAGGGAGTTAAATATGGGGTGTCAAAATAACACCAAATGGCGGATCGGCCGGGAAAGAGCATGTTTGTTTGTTTTTAAGTTATTGGAAAATAAATTTGTATTTTTGAATGAGATGATTTTGGAACAAAGAATTCCCGTGCGTTTTCGCACAACTATTCATATTTACTTTACCGTAATTTTATGCGTCTTCGCTTGTCTCTTATATTATTGACATAATTTAGCGATATTTTATCCTATATCAACGATTGTCCGTGCTCTATTTTCATACATTAACGATAATCCTTGCTCTATTTTGATAAATTTGATGTTAGAGAGCAAGTTATTTGTTTAAAATCAATGCCTGTGTATGTCTTTTGATAAAATTATTACTGTAAGAAATATAATCTCCTACAGGTTACCTGAGAGTCCCATTTAGCCTGTCATTTTTCAAATTCACATTTATATTTTAGTCAAATAACAAAGTATGTTTCCATAATTTAGTAAAATCATTTTCTTTTGCAAGTAAGGTTTGCAACTGAACACATTCTTTTTTTTTTTGCAGGTAAAGTGGAAGTGAAATGTGCAAGAACAAATTGGTCCATGGTATAGCTGGCAAATTTCAATCAGGAATGCCAAAAATTGGGCCAAGAAGTATGTATTGGTTCTTTCGAACAGGATAGAAACAAGAAACAAGATTAGCTGCACAGAGAATCAGGTAAATCATGCAATTAATATACTATAATTTTCCCAAGGACAAAATTACAATGTCACTTGTAGTTTATTGCCCCAAAATCTGCATTTAGACTGTCTTTATCCAATGCTTAGTGTGCCTATTATAGTTTTGGTAACCTAACTAGATTTTCTGCTATTGATATTTGATAAACAATTTGTTTTTCAAAACAGACATTCAGAGCACAGCTTGTGGTTGCTTTAGGTCTAACTGAAGGAGAATCTCTCCTTTTTATGCTAAGAAACCTTGTGGGCTGATTTGACTTGCTAATAATACTAATGATTATTGATAAATTTATCTTAGGGTTGATGACTCCATATACAGATGAGGACATACAAATAATAAAAAATGGCCATGGAAGAACATGCTGGGAAGTGAGTTTTTGTGGATAAATTTATACGAACTTGACATTACTTGTCGAAAATTGTAATGTTGCATTATAAGAACTTGACATTGATTGTCGAAAATTGTAAATAATTGTCTGGTTGTTTTTTGTTAATAGTCCTACAGGAGCAATTGTAAATATGCAACTGTGACCAAATATATTGATTTTTAGTTTCCTTGTATAAGTGTCGTTAATTTTGATTTAGATATGATTACTGATGTTAGAACTGCACATTAAATTGCAGTAGGTAAAAAGGTGCTGCTTTAACACCAAATGTAGTGCTATTTAAACACCCAAAGGTGTTATTCTGACACCAGAATGGGCGTTAATTTAGCACCAGGGATTGGAGTTAATTTAGCACCCAGGTCATGGTGTTAAAATAGCACCTCGACAGGTGTTATTTTTGCCATATTCATTCAACACCTTTTTTGGTGCTAAATTAACACCTTCAAATTAACAGTGTAGATAAGACTGCTAGTGATGTTTGCCGGACTACCTAGGAAGCAGCTGGACAGTATAAACGGCTACAAAACTCCCTACGTGTCAACGTTTTAAAGTGGCTAAGTACTGTACGGTTAAATTAACAAGCATCAATATTCTTTCAATCACCTCAACATACTATCATACTATGAAACAGACCCGGGCGTCGCGTCTTTCATGGTATATCGAGAAACAGCAAAGTGCCCGAAGCAAATACTATTTGCAACGCTGCACGAGGACAAGATGAAACCGTCATTCACTGAAATTAAAGGCGCAATGGCGCTGCTATTACGAATGAAGAAGTGACAAGCAAGAAAATTGCTCAGGTTGTCAAAGATAACGATCACTAACCTAGGAAGGATCTAATGAATATGTGTCCAATCGCTTTTGTCGTTCGGCATGTGGGAATGTAGACGAAGATGACAGCGAGCGACCACCAGCCTACCCACAAACTCCGTATTGGCTTGTCGTTGTTGACACACGCGCTCTTAACCGTTGACGGACTTGGATGTGATTTGGCAATAGAAACGAGAAATCTCGTATAACGAAGCCTGGTAGCTGCATAAAGCGACATAACGACCACATTGCGTTACATTGGACTCATGATGAAAGGTTGTGATTACGCGTTGCATCGTGGATACGTTGATGGTAAACCAGACAGCGCGATGCTTAGGTTTGTGAAGATGATGGAAGTTGAAACATACGTGAACCCATTACTCTTCTCAGAAAAAATTCTGAAAGACATGGCCAGAATAATACACCTGTTATATCTCATCCCTCTTGCGAAATCGTCCCACATATAGAATTCCATGATGATTACATTGAGGTGAGAAGAAGCCATTTCTTTTGCATATCAACGGGCAGCTTTACGGACGGCGTACCCAACTTGCCCTTCAGAAAGATCTCACCTCGCGCGTTCATTCGGTATGACCGTACAACGCCACCACAGCCTCTGTACTTCAAGAGTGCCATGGATAATTCGTTTCCGGACTTAAAACTGAGAATAGCATTGCTGAACAAGTTTTATCAATGCGTTGTCGGTCGACGATTGCCGCAGAAGGTACGAAATTTGTTCGCGTGCGGACCGAGTGATTCAGGGAAAACATCATGGGCGTGTGTCCTGCAGAGAATTGTGTCGTCGGAACCTAGCGCACCCATTAAAAAAAAATTACCTCTCCACGTCGATGATAAACGAGTCGACAGAACTTTTCATTATCGATGACTGGTCGATGCAAATGATGGACTCCGATCTTGCCAAGACGATTCTACAAGGGCGGGGGGGGGTGGCTTGTGACAGCTGTCAAGCACAAGCAGCTAAGATGTATATGAAACAACACTCTATGCTACATTACCACTAATGCTGTCCTAAACGTCGGAGAGGAGAATGAAAACGTGGAGCGTCCAATCGTTGTTTTCAAAACCAAATCTTTGCCGCAATTAACACCAGGCGTAGAAAAATGGATACATAATAACGCAATGGACTATGTTGTTTGGGTGGCAAATGAGATTAACGACCACATCCATCATGTGCCAGAGAACGAGAGATGGTACGAAAATATAGACGGCCAAGCATCCTTCATAAATGATTACTACATCACACGTACGAAATTTAAAACAAACCGTTTTACTGTAGTAAAATAGAGAGCGCTGTTCTTGAATATGTATTCTTATACATTCCTCGGATCAAAATGTTTGTAGACGAAACAAAATATGAAACAAATAAAATGATATTTTATATTGTAAGCTTGACGGACTTTGAAATTGAAATATAAAAATATATATATATATATTTAAAACCAAGTGAAATTGGTTTACACACATGATAGTCTCTCGTGTAGTTCAACATTCCATGATTGGTGTATAATAAGCACGGTACAGTTCGAATAGTATAAGAAGATTTTTCACCCACAGTAGATCGCCATTTGACTAAACCGTTGTAAACAATATCAGTGCGACCTACAAGAAATGAGAGGGGTAGCATCACTCGCGCGTCAGATCCCTCCTGCGCTGTTCATCGTTCTTTTGTCAGAGAATAAGAACGTCACCAACTCGACAATGGAAGACGACTACGCCGAAATTTGCCGCTGACTACTTTCTCGTCATCAGAAGGAGAACTGAGACGTGCGGAAGAGAAATCATGCCGCGACAACGAACTACAGACTGATGAAAAGGATGAAAAAGAAGAAGAGGAACAAGGTGGAGAAGAAGGAGAAGAAGAAGGAGAAGAAGAAGAAGGAAACAACGGATGGAAACATACATGGATGGATGCTGGATGCTCAACAATGAAGTATACCTGGCCAAAGTGTACGAGCACAATTGGAGGTTGGTGAGAG